ACATGTAAGTACCGATCAACGAACTCGAAGTAAAAAGGCTTGTAACCAGGTAGTGTTCCCTGATATAAATTATACTTTTACCACAGATTAAATGTCAAACTTAATAAATAAGAATATTGTACAACTTATCTGTTAACTGTCTGGAGTAGCGAGCTTGGAGAGTGCGCCTAATGATGGCGCAACTAGGGAGAGAGCCACATGTGAGCATTCACGGCAATGGATAGAGGCACTTACGACCTTATGGAGAGGCTGAGCACTACAAGGTCACTTATGCATATTGTGGTTGGTGGATTTTCCTTTGCGTAAACGCTGCGGCTAATACGTAGCAGAGGTTACTGAGGCGGGCTTTGAAATGACAATAATAAAAATCGCATAAACATTACATTTTTCAGCTGAATGGGACAAGTTAACATATGCAAAATTTTACAGATGTGACTTGCATTGGATCCATTTAACAAAAAGAATATTATTCTGTAACTTAATCAAAGAGGTATAAAGTTTGAAGATTTAGTCTTTTTTCAGCTGGTTGTAACAAACGGATAGGAGAGGCAGTTGTATAATATTTACATTTTGCAGAAAACAAACTGTGAAAGGTAAATCGGAAGTTCTATAATTCTTCAAATGTGTCATGGAATATATGTACTAATCTTACCGATTCTACTATTGTTCCCTCCCTTGTTCACACATTCATTATGGCTAAGATAAGGAATTGTTCATCTGAGGTAAGATTAATTCACTTGATATCCATACATCCTTAGATATTTCTCAGTGCTGCCGGAGGTGGTCGAAGGAATACAATCTCAATCATTGCATGGAAAGATCATAACCAGTTTCTTCTGAAGGATCGGGTGGTGCTGGAAGATGTAAAGACGGGTCGTGTCTCTGTCATGTGAGGGAAACTGATCCACATATTATGGATAAAACAATTAGTGGACTTTAATTTGACTATGATGTAGCCATAAAAAATCTACAACTGTAATTTTTTCACTGCATTGTTATAAACCCTTTTTAATGTGAAATTGTACTGCTTTACTGTTGTTATTTTGTAAATATATGCATTTATATCGATTACTTGTATCTCTGTATTATTTATCATTTCGAGGACATTACATAGTTAACGAAATTGATAGGCAACGTAGTAATACTTGTGTGAAATGCGTCAAAGTCGTAGACCGTTGTCAGTCCTTATGTTCATGCGAAGGTTAAGTTTTACTAAATCCGAGTGCGTGAAAGGTTACCTTTCATCAGGGCTACCGAAAAATTATACGTTGAGCTTATGTTTGTTATGCGATCACTACATATACATAATAACAAATGTAGGACGACTACGGCCATCTAAAATAACGAATTATAGGTGTATCCTATTTAAGATAATTATCCTAGTATTATTTTACTGCGCAAATTATCATTCTTTCGAAGTTAATCATTACGCATTCCAAAAATAGCTGTATCACTATTCCTTCGACAAGCAAAACGAAGTAGTAGTACAAGAATACCGAGAAAACTTCTAAGAAATATATATTTTAATGAACGACTTGATAATATCACAACGATTCCAACGTTAACACGGAAATTCTTCAATTGCACTTCATCAAAGCATCCAAATCAAGTGAACCGTCGCGTAAATTGCAATTGTAACTTGAAAACCAACAGCAGTGATACTTCTGTTAGCAAATAATTACCAATACAAAACTGTTACAAAGCAAAGGACATCTAAGTAAAAACTTTGCATCCTCTGTGTTATGTTCCGAATAAATCAATTAACACTCCTCTTTAGCTGTAAACTCTTCTGATTGTAACCAAATTTTCAGAACTCATCGATTCAAAGCACCACTTCGTAATTTCGCGAAATATACTTCATTCTCCTAATTTATTTCGTTTTTATAAACGTAATCAACAATTTACACAGAATTTTAACATTCCACATGCAAAATCAACGAAATTTGATGAAAAATACGTGTTCACTCAAACTATTGAAAAACGTCTACTTTCAACCATTTTTCTAAGTTTTTTCGTTAAAATATGGCATTTCAGTTGAAAAACACCTGAAAACAACATAGAACAACCCAAACACAACTGCGCGATAACGTATAACGACACCCTGTGTTTGCCTATATCCATTGCCAGCATTCACGCCTGAAAAACAAAGATGGCGTGGCGCCATAGTATATAAACGCGTTAAAACAAAAGCTTAAACATTCAAGGTGAGCTACAAGTCGTTATTAGTAGCTCACCTTATATAAATGGCTCAAATATGATGCTAAACCCTGTAATACGTGTGGAAGATATCTTATCAGAAAGGTCAGGGATTTCTAACTTAATCTGCATCGCAAACAACATGCAATTGCCAATAAATGAAATTGGGTCTACTTCATGCCAGGAACTATCTCGCATGTTAAAAGAACTGGGTGATCTGACCTTTTTAGAACTCTACAGTTCGAAGTCTTTATCAACTAATGCTAACTTGGAAAGTGCTAAAGAGGCAGAGAACGCCATGGACATTTTATCGAGGGAAGTTTTCAAACGACTCGCATAAGAACAGAACGTTACAATGTACAAAACACCAGACAGTGAGCCTAAAAATTCGGTTCAAAATTCTTCGCTAAGGCGTGCAAACCTGTGAGTGTATTCGCTTAAATAAAAAAGACCTACGACTCAAGTGTCCCATACTATACAGATTTGGCAGCTATTTAATAGCTGAACAGCTGAGGAAATCTAGGGATATTTTGGCCTTTTCTACAATTTCAGGAATGTTAAAATAGTATTTGACAGAAACCCCAACTAAGAACAAGTATCTAAGAGCACTCTAGATAGCAGCATGACCATACCACAAAACATGTTTGATGTCGGTGGCGAAGTATCGAAGGATACTGAAGAACAAAGCGACACTAGCATAGTACTTGTTGAACAGACGACATGTAAAACTGGAGTTGGATCTAAAAGGATCAGTAACACTGGGATGGGTCCCAGGGTTCCTGAGAACACTTCTAGGAAGTCTGCCGAAGTAGACATGGATTTTCCAACTTCCGATAACTTGCGAATACCGACAGATCACACTGCACCGAATGCCAAGCAGGATAGTTTCAAAGTAAAAGCCGGAAGAAGTCCCCAAAACTTAAGGCCTCGCCACAGACGTCCATGAAACTCCCTTGCGATAAGCACACCAAACAGCATGTATAGTGGAAAAGAACTATGCACGCATTACGGCAGGTCCCATAAAGGAGATGGAACATGTGAGTAAAAGTGTTTTTTTCCAGAGCAAGAGTAAAAACAAAGTGTGGGTAACAGACTGTGTCAGGTGAAAGCTAACAGAAAATATGGCTTTATTCACACAAATCTACTCACCAGCAGATATGCATGGGGCGCCAAACTGACTAGACCGCAGAATGAGGCCCACGACTGACGTAGTGGGCGAGATTGTATTATGCTTATAGGCACATATAACTTGGGAAGGGGACCCAAAATGAATAATAAGAATACATGGGCGACTAGAGTGGACACCACTAGGTACCATATGTACGGAAATTTATTTCCGGACCCTCGTAGTAGTTATGCAAAGCTTCATTAGCATAAGGCGTATAGACTGGCTCACGATCCCTCTGCGCACCTGCATTAAACAAGTCAACAAATGTGCGATTACGAAAGACCCAGCCCACACTACCCTCAAGACAATCTAAAAACGGGGTACTTGGGCCCTGCAAACTATAAATGAACACTGAAACGGACTATCTAATATGGAGAAATGATTCCAGATACCCATGTAATTATTCCAGAAACCCATATATGCAACAAGATTATTTTGGGCTGCAGCAAGCAATAGCCCCTCTTGTTGCACAGTCTGTTCAGGGAGTAGCAGACACTCTGACTCTGTCTCATCTCAGGGTCCCTATGGATATAACATAGGCAACCAGGAGCTAGGGATAGTAGTAAGAAAGCTTACTAACTACTCTCCAAACAACTCTGGTTTTCTGAAAATTATGCTCCTAAATGTTCGACCTCTCTTTAACAAAATAACATCATTTCGAAGCCTGGAATATGTAGAACAGTCATAACTAGTCCTGGTAACTCAAATCCGACGCAAAGCTGGCGACTGATAACTTTTGCACCCATAAAAGTGGAAGAGTCGACAAAAAAGGAGGTGGGCGTTTGGTATATGCCCCTAAATCCACTGGCTCTTGTACGTTTACAGACCCAACTGCTGAAAAACTCCCAGAATCTAAGTGGATAAGTCTCCACACAAATAAGAACAAAATTCATATGGTATGTATATACAGAGCCCTTAACAGCCCTAAAACAATTGATGCAGCCCTTGGAGAAATACTGAGGCATGTAGGTACTCTGGAGTTTAACTGAAAAGTAGTATATGCTGATTTTAACCTCCTCGGAGTGAACTGGGATACCTGCAGTGGACCTAGAATCCACGGAGAGCTCCTAGAAGTTATAGGTATGGGAGGATGGAAGCATCGCGTACGCCTCCCAACTCTCAACTCTTGACTTAATCCCCTGCCACAAAATACAGCCGATCTTGATAGAGGTGGGGAATAAACTCGATAACAGTGACCACAACATACTGTGCTGAACTTTGCCTCTTTAGCTAACAACTAAACACACACCTGAAAATCTTCCAGTTTATTATCAATATATCAATACTACAAACAAGATATAATTAATCCCAACATCACTCCTTTTGTAGTAAAGGGTAACTACGACAGTCGAGTGACGGGACGAACTGCGCAGAAGTTTACCGGAGACCAGGAGCCTTTAACTTACAATCAAGAGGCTGGCGCAACGAAGTCAAATTGGTTCACACTGGCTCGCAAAAACGATATTGGATGCTGAACAAAAGTATTTCATTTCAGTGGTATTTTCAGCAATAGCAATTTTGCTGAGATAATGGGAAAAATTACTCGTGATATGTAAATATGTGGTCAACAGTGATGTGTCATTCAGTGGTAATGCAAGAAGTATTTGGAGTCATGAGTGCCATATTTGTTTGCACGATCCACTTATTTTCAACTAACCAATCAGCGACGACCACATATTGGCTGTCGTATAAAACGTGTGTTTTGAGGCATTCAGTACTCAAAAGATGTATAGGTTGGTGGCGGCTTTACTTGTATTTGGATTTGTGTCGTGTGATAAAGTTTTGGAGCTTAATGATGATAATTTCGACTCCGAATTACAGTCTCGTCCGCTGACTTTGGTTAAATTTTATGCACCTTGGTAATTTTATGATGAAATCATTAACTTACATATCAAACAGGTGTGGTCATTGCAAGCAGTTGGCTCCTGCATTTAAGTCTGCTGCAGATATAATTGCGCAAAAATCTGACAGTGTTACTCTTGCCAAGGTGGACTGTACTGTACATCAAAAGACATGCACAAAATACAAAGTTGATGGATATCCTACTCTTAAAATCTTCAGAAATGGAAAGCTAGATAGTGAATATGAGGGTCCGAGATCTGCAGGTAATTGTAATATTACTACAACTATAGTTCAGATGGGATCGTGAATTACATTTTGTCGCGGGCTGGTCCTGCATCAAAAGAAATCAGTGTTGCTACCGAAGTTGAGACTATTATTTCAGATACTATGCCAACAGTGGTTGCATTTATCAAATCGGCCAGTGACCCCTTGGCTGCAACTTTCCTGGATCTTGCAAAGACTATGTTAGACGATGCCGTGTTTTCCCACAGTCACAATAATATTTTCGGGAATTCAGGAGACAAGTAAGTTGTTAACTATCTTCCAGTAAAAGTACTTTTAAGTGAGATCCGAGTGTATCTGCCTAAACGCCTTAGAACTAAACTAGAGAGTGACTTCACTACCTACAAGGGAGATCTAAGCAAGCAAAGCATTAAGGCTTGGATTCGCAAGAATGGGTAAGATTTCATAACTTTTCATCACCTTTGTTTAGTCATGGACGGGTTGGTTACAGGTCACCTAAGGACTCATTTTATTTCCGAGATTCCAATCTCGTTGTAATCTACAATAATCAATCCATCGAGTCTTATCCAACTGGTGTTAAATATTGGAGAAATCGTCTTTTAAAAACCCTTAAAGATCAAACAGAAAAGTTCAAGGATTTAAAGTTTGCTTATAGCTTCTCCGATGATTTTTCTCACGAATTATCTGAGTTTGGCTTAGACTCTGGCGAATTTCCGGCTGCCCGCATAAGATCCTCCGATAGTAAAAAGTATAAACTTGACAAATTTAGGTACGTTAAACTACTTTTTTCAAAATTCTCTTTAGTCTTGACTCTTTTCTTCAATTCCTACATAAATTCAAAGAAGGCTCACTATCCCCTTATCTGAAAACCGAACCACTCCCATCAGACGAAACTGCTGCTGTCAAGAAGCTGGTTGCGCTCAACTTTAATGAAATAGTGAATGATGAGAAAAAAGACGTCATGGTTGTATTTCACGCACCCTGGTGTGGCCATTGCCAGAACTTGATGCCTAAATATGAGGAAGCAGCCAAGAAGCTCAAGGATGAGTCTAATGTGATATTGGCTGCAATGGATGCAACTGCTAATGATGTACCATCACCATATGTAGTTAGTGGATTCCCGACGATATATTTCGTACCCAAAGCAAAGAAGTCTTCCCCTATTCAATATCAGGTGAGTATGTGGTATTTACTGACTTTTTCTTTAGGGTGGTCGAACTACTGAGGATATCATCAAATACGTTGCACGTGAAGCCACTGACGAATTAAGTGGTTATGATAGGTCAGGCAATGAAAAGAAGAAAGAACTGTAGGACTTGAACATATTTTCTCACAACATTGTATTCTATTTCCTCATTTTTATTGATTGTTTAGTACATTGTTACTTGTGATCTTGGTATATTTCTATGTGAAATATATTTAACTGGTTTAAAAATTTGTTTAGATTCATAGTTGTTAAGAGTTATCATCATTCAGTGAAACTACCTTAAATTTATACTTCCACTAAAAATTTGTCGATCAAACATTTTTCATATATGATCAGACCTTTTTGATTTTTTTCTATCAGTCTTTCCTATACGAGTCATAAAAGGCTTTATAGATGCTGCCAGATATGTGCTTGGTAGGATGAGATCAATGGGACATCGAATGAGTAATTTTGCGTCCTTTTTACGATTTGCGTAATTTGTAATACAAAAGAAGGCAGCAAATAGTCCGAGGTTCACAAAAAATAGTTGATAGACATCAATCTTTACAGACGCATTTGAATCATTCTACTTGAGAAGTAAATCATAATGCAATGACACTAAAATAAATGAGGAGTATGACAGAAGATCCATCACTGTAGAGGCTATAAAGAAATGGCTATTGAAAATGACAATGTTATTATGAGGTTGTAAAATTTGGTCATTTAATTCCAGATGCATACATTATATGGAGAGTTCTTCAACATAGTCATGTAGAGACTATAAAGTTGAGACACCAGTCTCCAAGTACCTGGAAGTATTTCCAAAACATCCAAGTAACTACCCAACTTTCTCGTGTCACGTGAGGTGACTTACAAGTTTGTTACAGAAAGAGATGGGAAGCTCACAACCATTTACCTCCCAAAAGCAAGATTTTGAATGGTTTGGACCGATTTCGTAGTTTATTTTGTTGTGGGAAATATGCTCTCAGCTCACCTGTTGATATCGCCTGTTCTTTATGAAGTCTTCAGTAATAGCTCGGCTGCCACACAAATGTAAATGAATCTGGGCTTTAAAGTGGGAACCCATCGAATGGCAGTCAGGAATTTAGACCAGTAAGGTTTACCTCTTCTCTATACTTCAGGTTAAGAAACATCCTGCATTACTCTAGAGTTATTGTTTGGTGATGAACTTTAATTAAGGAGTAGATTTGTTTTATTTGTTTTTACTTGAGTCACAAGCTCTTTAGTCATTAGTTATTCGGTCTCAATGAACAACGGATAGATTAAGTTGCTCTAGGTATGTGGTAATATCTAGCTGTGAAGGCAGTACAAATATGATGCTCAGTTAACCATCGAAGAAGGTAAATATTGTGCAGCAGTTCGTTCTATTCCACTCTATGACTAATGAGAGGTGATCATTGAATGTAGAAGACAAATTTTGCAAGCATTTAATCGTAGGTATTTCCATTCACTTGCTCATGCTTGGTGTTACAGTATGGTGAATATTAATAAAATGAGACAGTTTGGAAAGGAAGATAAGTCGATCAGTCCGGTTGTGAATCTTCATTTATTGAGTTGATTGGTACATGTATTACGCATTGTAAACCACCAACCTTCCTCAACAGGAAATGCTAGCTAAGATAGGATTCTGTTGGTATGAAATTCTGAATGATCAGAACAGAACATGGTAACAACCTATGAAGTCATTTGATATTGCTTTAAACAAGGTATCAGTGACATGGTTGTGGTCTTGAAGAAACGAAGCGAATTTGTTTGAGATCGTTCACAACAGTGAAAGAACGCCTACTCCAAAGCACTTAAACTCTCAATTTCCTCAATTGGCTAGTCTAACGGAATCGTTGAACCTTTATTATGTAACTAATAAATTATTTTAAATGATGTTTCAGTTTGACTCTGTGCTCAGATCACACTAGGAAACTTGTAATATCTGCTGTCTGGATATTTGTAATTAATGTAACCTGTCACAGATTATGATTTACTGTCAAGTATGTTGACAACAGACTGTTCGGGTCGTAAGTTGTGTCCTCATACTGATTTGTTAAAGAGTAACATATCGTGTATGTATGTTCGAAAGTTTTGTAACTTATAATTTGAATTTGTTCAGGATATATGCGGTCGAAGAGAAACTATGAAATCAAACGAGCTCATATTATCCCGCAAATATGTTCGTTATTCCTCTATTCAAATACCCGAATAACTGATGCATATATATTTTGTTCGACAATACGCTGAGAGGTGTCGTCGAATAAAAGGTGGCAAGTTAATACGAAATTTACTTCATTCCGATTAATAGGCGAATAGATTAAGTCGCAGAATTTAATCATATCCTTTAGCTGGATATTATTGGTTGGATTTTATAGGGAAAGGTTGGAAAGTACACCAGAAACTAAATATAAGGTATTGTAAGATAAGAGGAGAGAGAATACAAGGAAGCGTATGCTACTGTTAATATATATATCTGAAAAATAAAACAGTCCTATCGAGAAGTAAAACAACCTAAGAAAATTATTGATCTGATGCATTGATTGGTATTATATTTAATTAAGTGTTATCCAACTACATTTCTGAATGATTCACCGGTGGCTCGATGTCAGAATTCTCATCAGCCACGCATAGGGACCTCCCCTAGCCGGTATGACATCTGGAAATTTGGTTTGTCAAGCTGCCAAGTCCCTCCAATGAAAACCACACCACAGCTACTGGAACTCCAAAGCTTGAAGCCCGATCTTCTACTCGGCAAGCAGTGAATGAATGAAAACACTTTGAAGACCGGCGTATAAATAAACACGAAAATTCGATGTGTAGCAATTATGAATAAAAAGTGGGACGTTTTCTTCTATTAACAGGATTTTAGCTAGCATCCAGTGAAGTGAAACTCATATCTAGTCAATAATTCCATAGGGTGTCACGTTATAATTCTTATTCAGATCTTGCCATAACCTTAGTATTCCTTAGAATTTAATATTCACTTCAATTCTCAGAATGATATCTGTCAAAGAAATCAATGGGGTGGTTCAACTTAAAAATACATATAATTTAGAAGTTGATTCTGGAGGAAGGAAGGTAGGTTTCGATTGAGAATCTGAATCGGCTAGAGTACCGTTGATGACCAAAGAGGATTCGTTAACTGTTTCATCCCAGCATGAAAATCTTCATCAGCTTTCACCATTATTCCGTAAGGAACTTCAGTATATAAAACCTACTAGAACCTGGTTCTTGATCAGCAGATGAATTAGTCAACCACTTCAATTATTTGTATGACTGCACTGACCGTATTAAGTGAGAGGGCAACACAATTTCAATGCGATTACAGAAACCGCGTATCATTGGACAATGTCCCTCATATTGCTGGTAATAGACTGATGGTTATCACGGGAATAAATGAGATCTGTGTTTCGATTCAACCCTTCTCGATAGCGTGAGTGGGCATTGTCAAAATGTCCTAAACTGACACGGAACACCTATTTATTGCTCTTTTATTTCCAATGAATTTTAGCTGGTATCACCTTGTTCCATTGTGACAACTTGAACTGATACACCTTTATGCAAAGTTCGGCGTTGATGAGTTAATCCGTCAACTTGTGAAAGGAAAGCTATCGTTCATATAATTGGTATACTGTTAGAAGAAAGTGACGTTGAATAAATGAAGTGACAGGAGTTGAAATGTGTGAACCATTGAATTGCGATTCATTGTGAAGCACTGGCTTTTACTTTTATAATCCTGATATTTGTAGCAGCTGTTATAAAAAATATTTAGCTGTGATCCCGGTTTAGGTGCACTGAAAGTGGATGATACCTGATGGTTAATTAAACTTCCATGAGTGGGTTCGCTTACTGATGTTTTCGATAGAATAGCTATGGAGTGTTCCACTGTGTGGTGTAGGTATATGTTAAACTAGGCGATTTATGTTTGTTGCAATCCTACATCAGGTGAAGAGGATAGGTTGAGACCAGGCACTCTGTTTCCCGATTGTCTTACTGTTTGATATAGTAAAAATGATCTTTGACAACTACTTGAAATCACAGTTGATAGCTCAGATATATGACCAGTGAGTAACAGTAACTTGACCCTTCAATTCTCAGGTGTATCACATATTGTGATAGCAAGAGAAATAATTGGTAATGAAAACTACTACGTCTCAACATTGAAGAATCGTTCGTAAAGAAGCGCAAACGATCGTTGCACTCCGAAATAAATTAGGATTAAGTAACTCTAGTAAATTGATTATTCATATTCTGATTGATTTGAATAGAATCTTTCTGTAAGAAGATTCATAATAGCCTTGTAAAGTGTCACTGCTGGGTGTTTCTCACCATTACATCATTCGTTACTAAGCAAGTTTCATCCGTCATGAATTAAAGTAACAGCTGTTTACTTATCAACATTTCCCAGTTTTAACTACTTTGTTGTCGAGTACAACATATCTGAGTGGTTAAACAACGCGGGACTTTACAGAAAAATGGGTCATCTCAAATTCCTATTGATTATCCTATATCTTGATCTCGCCTCCTTTAACGTTTGTCGATATACATAGCAACCAACTAAACCCACGGAGCTTGACGATCACAAGAGTTGACTTCCTACTCACAAAAGCCATGTCACATAGTCGTCATTAAGGGGTACAGAATACACTACTGCACAGTAGACGTCCTTTCACAAATAGCTGGATACCACATCTGTACCAAAGACGACTGAAGTTGGCAGATGACAAACAAATCTTTAGTATCCGTGCTGAAATTTTTGCCAGTAGCTAGTCCATGATAGCTTACGCAACTTCCAGAATAAGTAATGTGGTCAACCAATTCAGCTATCCTAAGATTAGGAGTTGGCACAGATCAATCCCGTATAATAAGACTACATTTGATAGAGGTGAATTGCATGCCTAGCATGCTCAAATTATTGTCCACTTCGGTCAGACGATTTTGCATTTTCGCTACCTTAAATGACAATATCACTTGCATACTTTAAATCAACGAGAATCCACTGTGGTAACAGGCCAATCTCTTAGATGTAGAATTCGAGCAGGTCACCTCCATCATTATATCTATAGTACAACTGAACAAAATTCTGACATTAGGCATCCATCACGAACTGGTCACCTTCCCTTCAGATGAAAATGCTCTATAAGTTCATTTAAAACTGCATAAGTTCCAGCAGAGTACCTTTATATCACTATTATATACTTCCTCTGTACCACCTTCACAAAAATTGCAGCTACAACTTTTGATTAACCGAGTCAAATTTCACCTTCAAGTCAAGGAATATGGCAAGAGCAGAACACAGTGAACCGTATTCAGAAGTATCAGTGGAATTGTGAAGATGTGATCTGAGAATGAAGCCTCTCTGGTTTTCTGCACAACTAAGCATGAAGAAAATATTTCTTGATTTCCTTCAGAAAAAAAGCAGTCATATGCACTACTATGGTATTGTCAAGTTCATAGACGTACGGTTTCACTATAGACTGCATAGAGAATACTGGTTAATATCATAACTTACAGATTACAAAATGTACTCTTTCAATAGTAGCAAATAACTGAGTGATTTAAATCCGTAGTCATGCTCAGTTTCACATGATTTGAAAGTAGGTTACGTTTTAAGGTAAACAGGACTATA